ATGTTTTCTCCTACCGTGTACGCTATAGCAGTATATTACTATCCTAATTTTATGGTTTGACATTGGCTAAACGTAAACGAGTGTTTTATTTTATTTATTTATTGTAATTACTTGTAACTTGTAACACATTTTAAATGAATTATAGCTTTCTTCACTCTTTCTCCGTATTATGAACTTTAACTATGCCCACTCTCACTCATCCTAATACAGGTTTTTCTAACTTAAAAAGTGTGAGATCTATATCTAACTCTGTAAATGATACTTGTGTTATGAATAAATATTTTTGCATATTTTTTTTTTTTGTATTCTCACTCCCCCCTGCGCGCAATACGCTTAGAAAGAGAGACAAAGATTTTTCTTCATACGTGAATAATACGTTATTATAAATATAGATATTATTGATTTATTGCTATAGGTCTAAAAGATGATACTACCAAGTGAATGATGATGATGATGATGATATATTATATCGTACCAAAAATAAGAACACAGTTGTAATACCAACACTCTTTTTATACGTGGTAGAGCTACGCTGCAGCTATATTGTGGTTGTATTGCACCTAGGTCTCTCACAGAATACAAACGTAAAATAGGAGCTTAGGTGATGCTGCTGTGTTTTGCTATTTTGTATGGTGAGTGTAGAGATCTGGACAACTTTTTTACTGGAAAGGAGGTATTTCATCTTAGTCCCCGTAGGTGACAGCGCATCTGCAATGTAGATGTCTATGGCCCACAGCATCCACTTACCATCAGGTGGACTATGTACTCGTTTGTCACTCTCATTCTATAAAAGCAAAACTCTCTATGATGTTTACAATGTTCATCAGCTGATAACTTTGTTGACTTGATATAACTTACATCAATGTTACATAGTACCTAATTTTACATTGTTATTGTATTATATCGTTCATTTATTAATAAGTCGAAACTCGTTCCTTTTTTAAATACCTATCTGTGACGCATTGAGTCATTGATGATACGAATGCTAAGTAGGTCTGTACGATAAAACGCGCAACAAAGGAAGGAACAAGGTTGAATCGACAAGTTAATACATGTTATAACAAGACTTGGATGCCTTCGTATGTCACCTTGACACCCTCAGACTTCAATGAATGACAATACTTGCATCCGGTTTCCCACGTGCAATATTTAATAATAAGTGTTTTTATATAAATAATTGTAATGATCTTCCAATAGTAGGTAGTCAATCAGCTTCTTTAGTTAAATTAATAACTTCAAAATATAATGAAAAATAAAATAAATAATATACTAATCACTGTTGTAAACTAACAATAATACAAATGCTAATAGGTACTTATCTACGCTGCACTACCTTTCTTCATTATGACAATACTGTTTACGTTTATTATTACATAATTATCTAAATGTATGTTTAAGCCTACACGTGTCCCCCGGGTGGTGCTAAATGAGCGACAAGCCGATACCACAGACTCGGCTCCACGCCGTGGTAGCGGCGTTAAATATACCACACCATTTCGCACCATGAGGAATCGAAATAAAGAAATGGCCCCGAGTTCCCGGTGCCCCTTTAATGGGGCGGAGGTGCGAAGAATCTCCGGGAGGAAAACCGGCGACGAGGTTCGCCACCTGTCACGTTCTGTCTCCCGGAGAGGCGAAAAAGTGGATTGCAGAGGCCCGTCTGGCTACGTTGAATGTATGTGGGGCAATGAATGATAAAATGGATGAAGTATGCGATATGATGTATGATAGAGGAATAGATGTGATTTATGCGTAAATGACACGAATAGGAAGGGGAAGGATGTCACTACACATAAGGCACAGCCTATACCGCATACTGGTCTGGTGTAGACGATATCGAGCGGGCATGCCAGGGAGTAGGTATCATCCTTTCAGAAAGAATGGGCCAATGTGTGAAAGAGTATGAATGTGTAAGCCCAAGACTGCTATGGATACGAATGAAAGTGGGCTTGAAGAAGTTGTTTGTGTTAGGGGTCTACGCCCCAGACATGTCTAAGCCCACTTATATCCGAGAGCAGTTTTGGGAAATGGTAAGGATGGTGTTAATGAAGTGTAAGGGAAATGAAAATATTATTATGCTAGGAGATTTTAATGGAAGGGTTGGGGTGAGGAGGCTTGGTTATGAAAGGATATTGGGAACGTTTGGTGATGAGAGTATAAATGAGAATGGTGAAAGTCTCCTCACCGTATGTATGGAAAAGAATCTTTTTGTGACGAACACTTGCTTTCGCCACAAGAGGATTCACATGTATACTTGGGAAAGAGGTGACGATAGAAGCATGATAGACTTCATAATTGTGGATGAAAGATTGAGGGGCGCAGTGGTAGATACGAGAGTTTACCGGGGTTCTAACGTAGGAACGGTTCATTATTATGTTTTATGCCGAATTAATGGTCTATTCAGGCGTGGGCGCCATCGATCGTCTGTGTCTACCACTGCGTTACAGCGTATTAGAACAGAAAGGTTACAAGATGAAAGTGATAAAAACAAGTTCAAATATAGACTGAAAGAAAATATAAGTGGTTTGGATGAATTATGTATGAAGGAGTTAGACTTGGAGAATATATGGCAAAATGTAAAGAAAGGTTTAGTGGATGCAGCTACCGAAATATGTGGTGTTAGTAAGAAAAAGAATAAAAGGAAAAATAATACATTATGGTGGGATGGTGAGATACGTATGGAAGTTGAAGCAAAGAAGAGAGCATGGCTAGATTTACTAGCAACAAAGGCTGGTAATTCTGGCGGTACGAATGGTGATATTGAAAGAAAAAAGGCAGTCTTTAGACATATTAATAAGAGAGTAAAAGAAGTAGTTGAAAGAAAAAAGCAAGAAAGAATGGATAAGAATGATAGAAGAATATTGGATAACTTCCAGGCAAATATTAAAATGTTCTGGAAACTTGTAAGAACTGCCAGGGGACATTCAAAACAGCCTATGATGAATGCTATAAGAGACGAGAATGGCTATATTCTGAGTGATGAAGTTTTGAGTTTAAAGAGATTGAAGGAATATTTTGAAAGCGTGTTTATGAGTGACGAGACAACGTGTGTACTAAGTGGAGTAGAAACACCGAAAGAAAAGGAAAGAGGTAGCGAGATAAGTATAGATGAAATAATGAAAGCAATGAAAAGCATGAACGCAGGTAAGGCTGCCGGATATGATAGAGTTTCACTCGAAATGCTAAGGGCTGGAGAGGAAGTGGTGGCAGGCCTGCTGCACACCTTGTTTAATTTATGCTGGGAACTGAAGCGTGTACCGGTAGACTGGTGCAAAGCCGTGATAGTCCCAGTATATAAAGGAAGAGGGTCGCAGCAGGACTGTAAAAACTACCGTGGCATCAGCCTTCTTAGCATTGTGGAAAAACTGTATGCTAAGGTACTGATTGAAAGGGTCATGAAAGAAACTGATGGAAAAATTTGGGATGTGCAAGCGGGATTTAGAAAGGGAATGGGATGTACAGATCAAGTATTTTCCATGCGCATGATCGAGGAGAAGTTTCTGGCCAAAAACCAGAAGGTTTTTTGTGCGTTCATGGACTTGGAAAAAGGCCTATGACAGAGTGGATAGGGATTTGCTATGGCAAACACTGAACTCATTTGGGTTGAGCGCTGGCTTGATACATGCATGGAGTCTCTTTATAGGGACTTTAGTGCTTGTGTTAGGATCAACGGGGTCTACTCGGACTGGTTTGACATCCATAAAGGTGTCAGACAGGGTTGTGGCTTCCCCGTGGCAGTTCAACCTATTTATGGACAGTTATTTGCAAAATTTGAAAGTTGAAGAATGCGGATTAAGAATGGGTGAGTTAACCGTCAAATGCCTTTTGTACGCCGATGATCAAGTTATTCTTGCGTCGTCGGCGGCCGAGTTGCAAATGATGGTTACATTAATGAACGGATCAATAAAAGAAAGGGGTATGAAAGTGAACGCAAGTAAGACAAAGGTTATGATTTTTGAAAGAGAAGAAAGTAAAACGATTTGTGAAATAAAAATAGAAGGTGAGTTGATCGAGCAAGTAGATGAGTTTGTATATTTGGGCTGCGTATTTAGCAGGAATGGGAGATATGATAAGGACATAGAACGACGAGTGAATGCGGGAAATAGAGTAAATGGGGCCTTGCACTCTATTGTGAAGAGTCAAAATGTGTCGAAAAAGGCACGTATGGCAATTCACAATGCTGTGTTGATCCCTACTTTAACGTATGGTAGTGAAAGTTGGGTGTGCAGAAGAAGCACGAGAGTAGAATAAACGCAGTAGAAATGCGGTCGTTAAGGAGTATGTTAGGGCTGAATCTGAATGACAGGGTAAGGAATTGGGTAATAAGAGAAGAGTGTGGTTTTCAAAATGATGTGGTGACCAGAATTAAGAAAGGAATGCTTCCGTGGTTTGGTCATGTGGAAAGAATGAATGAGGAAAGAGTGACAAAGAAAATTTATGGTGCAGAAGTGAATGGCAGAGTCGGAAAGGGACGTCCTAGGCGAAAATGCATCGACCAAATTGGCGATTTATTGAAAACGGGCCAAATTAGGAGTACCCTTAACCGACGAGCATGTATGCGTAGGTGTATGGATGTGAAGGAGGCAAGAGAGGTGTGTCAGGATCGTGCCAAATGGAAGTCTGTAGTCTCTGCTTACCCCTCTGGGTGACAGGCGTGAGTGTTTATGTATGTATGTATGTATGTTTAAGCGTGGTAGCTATGCGGCAGCTATATTATGGTTGAGCACGAATAAATCGACTATGCCGAATATAGCAAAGATTTAAAGACTATGCTCTCACAGAACACCAGCGTGAAGTAGTAGCTTGATTTTTCTGTTTCGTACGGTAAGTATAGAGAAACAGAGTCCCTTTTTTATGTAAACAAGGTACCGTAAATCTCGCCAACTTTGGTTTTTAATTCTAACATTGCCACTTGACAAAAATAACAAAAATTTGCTGTAGTAAAAATATATCTCATATAGCAACATTTTACAACATATTGTGGAAAATAGAATATATTTATGGCAATACCAATCATACGTTCTGTTACTAAGTTCACTCAGTTGGCTGTCAAGAGTTGTCAAATAGAATTCTCTGCCGGTGGTCCCAAATTGTTCCTCGAGTATAAAGCTTTTTCGCGCTTGAAAAATGATCCAAGTGAGTGGTATTTTTGATATGTTATTAAGTGAAATCTTGGTTTTAATATGGTGTACATCTCAAATCAATATGAGTCCTCTATTAATCAGTAATTCAAATGGCCAATTTTACAATCACTTGTATCAAACATGTGCCGTTAACTTTGGCCACAGAAAAATAATACTAGGGCTGCCCACTGATAATTTTAGAATTCGGTACCTACCTACTTATCAGTTGATGGTACTTTTTGCTTATAACTTAGTTTTACAATTAGTTTTGGTATAATACCTAGAATACATTTTAAAATATGTATATTTGCTTATTATTTATGTCCATATATATTTACAGAATGGATACATCTAAGCCAAAATCAAGAAAAAAAGCAAGAAAAATTCGCAGGCGCCTTGGTGCCCGGCAATATAAAAATTATTCAAACGAAATGCTTGAAATAGCTGTAGATCTTGTTAGAAAAAAAATAGATATCAGCAAGAGAGGCGGCGCGACAATTCGCAATTCCTAAACAGACAATATTAAATAAAGTAAACAAGTCTCATACAAAGTCTGTCGGATGTCCAACGCGATTATCTGATGACGAAGAAGCCAAATTTATTAAAGTTTTAATTGCTGCTGGGGAATTCGGATGCCCACTTAGTAAATTGGATCTTCGCCTCGTCGTGTTTGAACACTTGAAAAAGAATGGCCGCGAGGATGTATTTAACTGAGGACCTCCTGGAAAAGCATGGCTTGATAATTTTTTGTCAGGACATTCATCACACTTGTCAGTTTAAATCACGAAGAATTTAAAAAAAAATAGAGCTGAGAAAGGGGTTGATGAGTTCATGGAATATTTTAGAAATTTAGAAGAGACTTTGAAAGATGTTGCTCCATCAAATATACTCAATTTTGACGAAACAAATTTAACAGATGATCCAGGATCTTCAAAATGTATATTTAGGCGAGGAGTAAAATATCCCGAACGAGTGCTCAACTCAACTAAAGGAGCCATTTCGCTGATGTTCTCAGTTACAGCGAACGGGAGCTTGCTACCTATTTACGTTGTCTATAAGGCAGAGAATTTATATTCTGAATGGATACAGGGCGGACCGCGTGGTACTATGTATAACCGCACAAGATCTGGATGGTTTGATTCTTTTGTTTTTGAAGATTACTTTAACACAACTATTATGGATTGGGCAAAGTCTTTACCTGGTAAAAAGGTCATTATATGCGATAATTTATCAAGCCACTTAAATGTGAGTGTTATCGAATTATGTGAGTGTCACAATATTCAGTTTGTTTTCATTCCATCTAGCTCGACACACATAACACAACCCCTTGACGTCGCTTTTTTTGCACCACTTAAAAAAGTGTGGCGAGCAATATTACTCAAGCATAAAATGGAAAATCCCAACCAAACTACTCTGAATAAGAATCATTTCCCAAAACTTTTACATTCTTTAGTTGATCAAGTTGAAATATATTCATCTAAAATATCAAAAGCGGATTCAGAGCCACGGGGATCTACCCATTCAACCCAAGAGAAGTACTGAAGCGTGTACCAGAGTACCAAGAAGATGTGGCATGATATGGGATTGACAATGCATTGCTAGACTACTTAAAGCAGATCAGGCAGCCAAATCCTATGATAACAAAAATAAACAAGAAAGTTATGACTGTACCTGGAAAATCAGTAACAGTCGATGATTTACTGCTGACTTCCCAACTCTCAAAATCGAATGTACGAGGCAAAGTCAAGTCATCCAAGAATACTACGACACTCATGAAGGTCGATCCTGCTGCCTCACTCGCAAGTGTCTCACTCGAGAATTTTGATAAAAATTACAATTATGACATTAGTTATATTTTAAACGAAAAAACGGGTCATGGAAGCCACAAAAACACTGATTTAGTATTTGAAACTGATTTACCCGTGATTTCGATAAAAGACCAAGACCAGCCCAAAAAGATAAATATTCTATCCGGCATCATTTTACCAGAATATAAGACTGACCCTATTGCAAAAACTAAAACTAAATACTTTAAAGAAATTGATACAAGCTTTAACATTTTATCACAAACTTTTCCTTCAGAACGCAATATTGTCATAGAAAAACCACATACTGAAAATTCGGATGGTAAGATAAGAAAAATAGATAATATTTCTTTTAATATTAACATTCATGGTGTTTTAAGTAGTGACGATAATGAGGATATTAGGGATGTTGTGAGTTGTTCTGCAAATAGCAGAGACAAGACTAGCAGTAAAAAAAGGAAGAAAAAACGTCGTTTGAGAAAAACTGTCAAAAAGGAAAACGTCAAACCAGTTAAGAGACCAAGAAAATCTCTAGATAGTTCTACAACTACTGAGGAAGATTGGATTAGCACCCATAGTGATTCTGACATAAACAAATTTTGAAATATGTATGGAAGAGTACAAATATTGATGAATCTATAAATATGGATAAACAAATAATAAATGAAGATATACATCAAATTGACAAGAATTCAAAGAAAAAATAGTATTATGAATTAGGAGAAAAAGTGTTGGTAAGATACTATCAGTCAAATAAATGGAAGTACTATGTAGGATTAATTGAAAGTGTTAATGACAATTCAAAAACGTTTAATATATCTTATTACAAATGCATAAAAACAAAGGATTCGGATGATATTAAATTTATTAAACCTAAGCTCTTGGATCGAGATATAGCCGTACCAGAAAGTAATATTGTTAAAATTATAGAACTTTTACAATTCAATGAAAGTCCTGAAGAATATGCATTAATGTGTGATAAGGATTCTGTGTACTTTTAAGAATTTGATATTATATCTCGTGTTATCACAAAAAGTATATTGCTGTATTTCTTTAGTATTTACTAGAATGTGTCATTTACACGCTCATTTCCTAAAGTTCGTAAAGTATGTTTTTCATTTATTATTTTTTGTTTTCAGTTGGTACCTAGGTTCTAAATAAACACTTTAAGCTTGGTACCTATTGTTATATATATTTTTATTTATGAATTTGAGTTTTCTCTTTCACCTCAACGTGATGATTAAGTAGTCTTGAGATTACTAAATTGAAAAATGAATCTTTTTTTTTAAGAATTTTGATCTCACAAATATGTGATAGTAATTTAAGTACTTACTCATAACCATTTAATACTTGATATAATTTGATAGTCTATATTGTTGTCTACTTGCTTAGTAAAAGTGCCATATTTTATATGCTAATATTGTACCAAATAAATCTCATATAATAAAATGCGATTGATTAAAAACATGTTTTTATTTTTTTGTAATACACCCAACCAATATATAATAATTAAAAAAATTGACAACCCTGAGTCTAAAACCGTTTTGTATGGAAATTTAAAAAAACTTTCAGGTATCTTTGGCCACCTCGCTGTAAGCCAAAATATTTAACTTTTTGTGATTATTGCCTTTTATACGTCTTCTTTGGCCAGTTTCCTGTCATAGTTCTTAACGGAAACGGCATTGAGACTATAATTCAAGAGTTATAAGCAGTGGCTAATGTTGACAGAAAGCTGATGTAATTTTGGCCGACTAAAAAATATATTTTTAGGTAAGAAATGCCTAATTTTCGCAATTTCCGTGAATTAACATCAACAGTTGAGGTTTCTGGTGTTAAACAAATATGAAAAACTAATACTTTACTAACAGTTTTTTGGATTTAAAGTTGATTAAGTGCAAAATGTGGCCAATGTTGGCAGGTTTTACGGTATTTCATCTCAGCTCTTAGAGGTGACAACAGATTCTGCATTTTAATTTTTAACTACAGTATTCAATTACCATCATGTGGCCTGTATACGTTGTTGTAAGAATGGTATTACGCACTCATATACGCATATGTAGGTAGGTACCGATCTAAAACCATTTGCAACAACACGATTTTATGTACTATGTTGTGAAGAAAGGTGAGTTCTTGTCTTGAAGTTGAGCATAATTTTGCGTTAAATGTAATGTAGGTATGTACTCTTTCTATCAATCCTTTTTAGCAAAAAATAATTTTTAAATTGATGTTACTAGAAGATTAAAAATCATAATTAAATAATTTAAATATTTTTATTAAATATTTTAATAAATATTTTTAGCCGAAATACATTTTCGTTCGGCTTTGTATTCAAATTACTGTAATTACTCTTAGCTTTTACTTACTACTTTTGCCACATAGATTTTTATTAAATCCTCATCCTTCTAATTATATCTGTTGTACCTAAAACCTAGTCATATATTATATTTTGATCCATTGATATCACTGTACACATAAAAATATTAAAGCTAGTACTCTTTTTTGTTTTCTTTTTAAGTATTTATTGATACCGATTATTCATAAAAAAAGTAATGGAGATTATACATGTTTAAACTTTTTTTTAAATAGTGACCACACTATGTTAGTACACCTGGATAAAACATTTAAAAGTAAAAAATTTCATTTTAACCCATTCAAAACTTTTATAGTATTAAAGTCTTAAGTCAATATAATTGCTTTCTTACACAACTAAATTGATTTTACCATTAGATAAACGAAAATTCTGAGTAGGATGGTATTGAAAATCAAAATCCCCAAAAACCGAGATAATTTTGGTTTTACCTCTAAACCCGCGATATTATGGCATACTTATTAAATTATTTAAGCAAATAATTTCGCTTCTTGAGTTATTTATAAAACGATACCACAAAATAGCTAAAGGACTAGGTGATGATAAATGGCAACTACTATTTCATGAAAATCTGCTCCCAACTTCAAATGAAAGAATTTTGCAGACGTGCGATGGTTTATAGATATAATCACGCCATTTGTAATGGGCGAGTTATAATTTTACCTACAACATTAAAATACTCCCGTAGTTTTCACTTTCGACCCTACCTTCATTCTTCCCACTCTTAAAAATAGAACACAATAGTGAATGCACTGCTGCGTGTCGACAGAAATATCTGTAATATTTACCATGAGCGGCACATACATAAGCAAAACAAAGAAGCTCACCGTCTAGAAATGGTATTTGGTTATTATTTATTAATCTCTGTACTAGTCTCAGAAAATAAAAGAAACACTTACAGCTGACCCGTCCAGCCGCACCAACGAGACATTTTACGAGCTATAAGGTATCCAGTCATCCGTGTTCCTCTGTCACAATAGCGGCGGCGGCGAGCCCGGATTATTCTTTATGCTAGGAACAGGTAATATCCGTAGGGTTGTCACAGGGCTGGGTATATAATATCGAAAGTTTTATGACGTCTTAAATTCTTATATCTAAGAGCTATTGTATCATAACATAATAAATGAAACTAGGAAATAAAAGAAGTGTAAGTGACTGAATAAAAATTGATGGAAATCAATTGATATAACGAGTCATTAGAGTACCTAACGTATCGCAACGTTCTGAATGACATAGGATCAAAGGTAGCCACGAACTCACTATTAGTATAATCACAATAAAAAACTGATAAAAAAGTTTTACTTCAGCTGGTTTCAATATAGCCCACGAGACATTATTATCTACTAATACCATCGAACTATATTACTAACGTAACGTAACGTACGTAGTAGTAAAATCTCAATGACATGTAATTTGTAAAAGTAGCAAAGTCTGAGTCTGATTAAAGATCTGTTCCAAGAATCAAATTGTTACAGACAGGTAATTCTTTCAATATATTATATTAGAGTTTAAAATGTAAAACGAAATTGTACTAATAATCATTTATGTACTAACACATAGGTACATAAATGATTGAAAATCGTGATCAGGGTTCCGTATAGCATATTCATGCTTACCTTTAAAACTTTACTTACGTAGTCATTTATTAATCAATCATATTCATCATCATCATCATCATTACAGCCCTTCACAAGTCCACTGCTGAACATAGGCCTCCCCCAAAGTATGCCACAAATCACGGTCCTGAGCCACCTGCACTCATCGACTTCCTGCATGTCTTACCAGGTCGTTACTCCATCTAGTGAGGGGTCGCTCTACACTACGCCTACCGGTACGAGGCTGCCACTCGAACACTTTTTTACCCCAACGGTTGTCGGTTCTTTGAGTTATATGGTCGGCCCATTGCCACTTCAGCTTACTAATCGCGGATATCCTCATAGACATTAGAAAAACCTAGAACAAAGATGAAGAATGTGGTTTCTAGACTATTAAAATGCTTTTAACATGTATAAACTGAAGTGAATCTTTAATTTACTTTGCATTAAAATTAAAAATATCGATTTTTTTTGAAATCCCTACTAAGCAAGCAATATCGCAGCGTTGCTATGTGATTGCCGCGCGTGGTGTGGGCGGCTGCATAATGAACCGTCGGTATCTGGGAAGTGGGAGGGCAGGTGGCGACACTGGAGTGAGAGACGAGACAGTAGCGGGTTTGCGTTACGTATTTCCGTCTGACGGTATATTTAAATTCGTATTTTCTTTGAATTAGCATTACCTATAGTAAAATTCATTATAATTTGCGGTAAAATGTATACCGATATTGTATCATATACTTTAGAGTCCCCCAAAACATGAGATCAAATAATAATAATAATATTACTTTATTGCTTAGGCGAGAATCTATAAGCTTGTTGTACTGCCAGACCGGGATCATCAAAATTATTTGCCTCCGCTTGCTTGCTACGCTGCGGATTGACGGTCACAGTACGAGATGTCTCGCACCTTTTACGCTTGTGCCATATATCGAAAGTCATAAGATTTTTCAGGCATTTCGCATAGCCGCCTTTTACAAATCAGATGAGTCTTACCATTACCATGTGAAGAAATGAAGCGATGAATTCTCTTACACGCCACCACACGGCAAGTAATCACATTTTAAAAAATATTTAAATTTTAAGTCCTACCACTATCATCGGAGCCGTGGTAGCTCAGGGAGCCGTGGTAGCTCAGATGGTTAGCGCTCGCTGTAAATTTCACAGTACACGAGCAAACCGGGTCGATCCCCGCCGGCACCAATGAAATTGTTAATTGCAATTTTAAGTGCTGATTTACCATGCGCTCGTCGGTGAAGGAAAACATCGTGAGGAAACCTGCACGTCAGAGAAATAAGAAAAAAAATATTTCGAAGACATGTGAAGTTCGCCAACACGCATTGGGGCAGCGCGGTGGACACTTCCTTGCCCTAAAACCCTCTCAGAAATGAGAGGAGGCCTGTGCTCAGCAGTGGGATGTATATAGGCTGTAACTTTACTTTACTTACTTTACTACCACCTATCATGACCAGCAGTATACTTTTACGAGATTGATGAAAAAGACCAAATTCCTAAAAACTCTAATCAACTAAAAATTGAGACTCTTCATTTGCACAGACTTAATATTCTAATCTCAACCTATAATGATACATAAACCTGATGCTCCTATACAATTATAAAAAAACACACGGAAACGCACATGC